GCACGGTTTCGGCGTGACACATCTGGTCAGCAGGCCGGCAGTTTGACATGCCTGTATTAATTTCAACGGAGTGATCTGTGACCCTGGAGTTACAGAAAGCTTCTCAACTTCCCGACCACCAGCTCTAGCCAACTGGAATAACAAATCCAGATTGTGCCCTACCACATGCATGGGATGGGATTATCAATTGGAAAGGTCCATTGTTGTCATGTGAGGAATGACATCCCAAATCACTTCTCACTGGGCAACTTCAGCATGGACAAGAAATCTAGGATGGACATTTGTGGGGGCAGATTTCATCATGACCAGTTCAGAAAGTCACAATGTGGGGAAGGGGAGAAGATCACACCCTTATGCTGTCTAGTTATTCCGAACACTCATTGGTATTATAGCACTGAATACTTTGCTGACTGACTACAAGTCATCCTCTTTTAGCAACCACCACTGAGATTGCAAACTCTGTCACTAAGCAAAGCAGTGGCTAAGTGGGAACTCAAGTGATGGCAACTGTGCTTTCTGGAGTGAAAGTGACAAGACTAATCAATGTTTACATCTTCCACTTTTATTTGCCTCTTAACTACTCCCTCATCCTTTGGCATGCTCACCCTGATACAGGTAGTCCTCAACTTACAACAGTTTGTTTAGTGACCGTTTGAGGTTATGGCACTGAAAAAAGTGATTTAGGACCATTTTTTACACAACAATTACAGCATCCCCACGGTCAGGTAATCAAAATTCAGATGCTTGTCAAGTCATATTTAGGACGATTGCAGTGTCCTGGGGTCATTTGATCACCTTTTGTGACTTCTTGACAAATAAAGTCAATAGAGAGGCAACATTCACTTGACAATCCTGTTATTAATTTAACAACTACAATGATTTATTTAACAACGGTGGCAGGAAAGTCCATAAAATGGAGCAAAACTCACTTAACAAATGTCTCACTTAGCAAAATAAATTTTGGGGTCAGTTGTGGTCACAGGTCAAGGACTACCTTTACCTGGATAATTAACAAGAAGGAGAATTAATGTTTGTATTTCAATTCTTTGGAGAGGAAAGGATTACAACAAAGTAAGCAGGCACACAACAAAAGATATCTATGAAAAACAATGTGCTGGTTTTGGTAGCTGCCAGCTGAATGCATAGCCACGTGTATTCCTCACGTATACCTGTCCCTGTTTGCTCTCTTGCCCTCTCTTTTTCTCTTCTGCTCTGCAAAGGGGAAAAGAAAGAAAAAAACAGAATAACTGTAACGGCACTCATGTGACTGGAGGAGGTTGCAAGGGTCATATATGGTTGTAAATTGGTTGTAGACTTATTTTTTCAACACCGTTGTATCTTCAGTGGCTGAATTAGTGGTCAGTAAGTGACTAATGTTGGTGTTGGGACTGGAATTTCCCTTGCTTAGCGATGGCAATTCCAGCAGTTCCATGTTGTTGTCATTAAGTGAGGAGATTGTGGGTTGCTAAGCAAGGACCTCATGGGACTATGATTTATGACTTCCTGCCAGTTTCCCCTTTGGCTTTGCTTGTGGGAAGCTGGCAGGGAAGGAGAGTAATTAGGATCATGTGATGTGGAGACAGGGCAATCGGTGGAAATCTGGGCTGGTTGCTGAGGACCTGGATCATGATCATGTGAAGTGCTGCCACAGACTGAATCTCAAGGACTGGATGTAACTATCTCTCATCCCAAGAATTGCAGACGGATCATACGTAGTTGGTGGCTATCCCAAAGATGCTTTTTCATGAGGCAACTGGACTTTGTTTTCTTTGAAGATGTTTCGCTTCTCATCCAAGAAACTTCTTCAGCTCTGACTGGGGAAGTGATACAACATCAGTCGCCTCATGAAAAAGCATCTTTGGAACAACTGTGATCTGGATGACTGAGAATTTCCATAGACATTTAGCTGGTAGATAGAAGCTCCCCAAAATACAAAATGAGGAACAGGACATGCTAAGTGGCTGCTGCAAGGTGACCGGGTGTGTTTGCCTGCAGGGGTATGAATTTCTCAAATGGCTTGAATTCTGAAGAGGCCACTATCTTGTGCTGCAGTCCTGTGTGAAGTAATATATCTTACTTTTTTCATATGAAAATCAATTTAATTTTTTCATTCAGCATTCCTAATTCAAACTTCATAATGATTCAGTTTCCTAAGAAAATGACTATTTGAAGGGTTTTTTTTAAAAAAAAAACTGCCTTCTGTCTTTTCTTTTTAAAAATGGATTTGTCGGAAATGAATGGTAATTTTAAGTTGGCTAAACAATGTTGTCTGATTATGTAGACTGAATTTAAAACCCCCAAACATACTGCTAATTATATTTCAAAATGTAGTTTTATTGATTTTTTAAGTCTTCAAGTGATTTATTGTGTGTCAATTATTTATTATGAAACTGAAATTGCTTTCTCAGACATGCAAAATTTAAATATGGCTACTGCACTGTTCAGTCATTTAAAATATTTTAGTGATGTTCTTTCACCACCTTGTGGCTATTTGCAGTCATTTCAGCTTTACTTATTTTCTTGAAAGCATTGTGGCACAACTATCGTTATGTTAGGTAACTTGACACTTAAAATCTTAGCAAATTTCTCTGTATTTCAGAGTAGGTCAACTGCAATTATTAGCATAAAATTCTTTTTCAGATTCACAGTGGAATGGAAATGGACAAGACCAAATTGGAAACTGATCAAAGAGAGAAACAACCTGGAATTAAGGAGAAACTCCCTGACAGTGAAGACAATTAACCAGTGGAACAGCTTGGCTCCAGAAATCGTGGTCGCTCCATCACTGGAGATTTTTAAGAAGAGACTAGACAGTCACTTGTCTGAGATGGTACAGGTTCTCCTGCTTGAGCAGGGGGCTGGACTAGAAGACCTCCAAGGTCCCTTCCAGCTCTATCCTATTCAAATGTTATTTTACATATTGCTGAAATCACTAATATTAGTATTTTCCTAAGCATTTTTTAAAAATATAATTCTTCCATTTCTAATAAATGTAGGTGCTGTTTATTTTTTTGCAATTGTTTAATCCATTGTCTTTCTTGGTTATTTCTGGGTTACTTTTATGCTTTTGTTCCAGTTCTCTTATTTTAGCATCTATTTGTTTTTTATTTGTGGCATTTTTGTTTTTTCACTTATTTAGTTCATATGCTTTATTTGTTTCCCAAATAGTAGAATGAGAAATTCCTGGTGTACTATATACATTTTAAAGAAGTTTGATTCCTCTTTTTGCAGGTTAGTATCATTCATCTTCTACCTGAAAAGTATTTTTTCTTCAGCACCCCATGTTATTAAAACTGGATTATGATCTGTATAAAGTCATTGAAATAATATGTACTTCTTTAATGGATGGTATTAAGGTCTTAGAAACCAAATACATATCTATTTTTGAATACAATGGAATTATTGCTGAGAAAAAGATGTAATCTCTCTTTGCTGGATTTTGTAATTTCCATATATGTGTCCATGCCAGTTCATCCATATATTGAAATATCTTTTGTGGAAGCTTCTCACCTTTTCCCCTCTTGTATCAATTTGTCTAAGCTCAAATCTAAAACTCCATTCATATCTCCCAAGACAAATATTTTGCCTTCTTCCATTCCTTACAGGGCTTCTCCAGGGTTTTTTCTCAAATTCATGACCCATAATTTCCACAAGATGGCTAGGCAGTTACTTTAACTCTGTGCAGTTCTAGGTGTAATGTACAGATATAGATAGTTCTTGTTTAACAATCGTCTCATACAGTGACCACTCAAAGTTAGAATTAACTTTGCAACCAACCCTTAAGACCTTTACTGTCTGAAAAGGAATGAAAATCTAAAATAAGATCATAAGCACACTTATAGTCACTTAGTGAGCCCTTTACTTAACAACCAAATTGCTGGTCTCAATTGTGATCATTAAACAAGGACTACCTGTAATTTTAACTTCCTGTGAATAAGATGACTGCATCAATTAACCCCTTTTCTTAGAGTTCTTGTGATGCATTTAACTCCCTAATTGATCTGGTTAATCTTGTCATGGATACAGTGCCAAGATCTTAAACAGCCTTCCATAGTCTAGTGCCTTTTAATGTATTGGATCTCCTGTATCTCAAAATTTCTGGCTACACTGGGAAATCATATGACCTAAAATATGAGAAATTGTATGATAATTCCATTGTCAAGGTTCCAACTGAAGATCCCAACGAAGTAAGCACAGTGGAGACATTCCAATCTCTAATGCAAAACTTTATTGAGCACACCATATCAGCACAGATGAATAGAAAACCAACTCTGGTTAAACTGGCACCACAACAGTAAATTAAAAGTATAGAAACTCCCCTTCCCCTGACAATGCAAATCACATTCCCCAATTAAGCTTCAGACAATTGTTACAAGAGAAATCCTTTGTTACTTTGTAAATAATCTGAATCACCTTCATTCCCAGACTTTAGAATAGAATAGAGCTGGAAGGGGCCTTGGAGGTCTTCTAGTCCAGCCTCCTGCTTGAGCAGGCAAACCTATACCATTTCAGAAAAGTGACTGTCTAGTCTCTTCTTAAAAACCTCCAATGATGGAGCGCCCATGGTTTCTGAAGGCAGGCTGTTCTACTGATTAATTGTCCTCAGTTTTGGGAAGTTTCTCCTTAATTCCAGGTTACTTCTCTTTTGGTTTGTCTTGCCCTCTGGTGCTTTGGAGAATAGTTTAATTCCCTCTTCTTTTTGGCAGCCACTCAAATACTGGAATACTGCTATCATGTCTCCCCTGTTTCTTCTTTTCTTTAGACTAGCCAAACCCAAGTCCTGCAGCCATTCTTCATATATTTTAGTCTCCAGGCCTTTGGTCATTTTAGTTGCTCTTCTCTGAACTTTTTCCAAGGTCTCAACATCTTTTTTGTAGTATGGTGACCATAATTGGCTGCAGTATTCCAGGTGTGGTCTTACTAGGGTTTTATAAAGCGGAACTAATACTTCATGTAATCTTGATACTATGCCTCTGTTTATACAACCCAGGATTGTATTAGCTTTTTTGACTGCTGCTGCACTCTGCTGGCTCATAGTCAAGTGATCATCCACAAGGACTCCAAGATCCCTCTCACAGTTACTGTTTCTGAGCCAGGTCTCGCCTAATCTGTACGTTTACCTTTATAGCTCATACCTGCAAATGCACGTTCCATTCATCCCCCCTCCCCCCTGGATTTGTTGGCAAGCCAAGAAACAGAAATGGCCGAAGCACCATGAGATTTCTGGAAGCTTGACATCCATTGCAGTTTAAGAAGGAGGAGAAACACCAACACTCAGTATATAGGAATAGCTCATAAATGTGTGCCTGGATCATTAGGCCTTCTTCCTGTTCTTAAAATGCAAAGTCCATTTTGAAGAGGACGGAATATTCAGATTGGGGTTAACTGTAGGGATGACAATTTACTATGAACATGTCCTATTGTTTTCTTTGTATGTACTTCTATATTTGTATTGGTTTTATATATTTAATATGGTCAAATGATTAATCAATGAAGATTTTATTCTGTCCTGTCCTGTCCTGTCCTGTCCTATCCTATCCTATCCTAATTATTATTTTCTATTCCATCCCATCCCATTCCATTCCAATGCCCACCTCTAAGCCTCAAAAGCAGGTAAACAGTCTCATTGCTTCTAATATTGTAATAGGCAAGTGTCTTTCCATCTTCCAACTCTTTATCATGGTAGGTCAGGTGTTGCTGATTTACTGCTATATGTTTGCTGGCTTCAATCATCTTTTTCAGGCCCAGCACAGTTTCACTGGAATTCACTGTGTAGTTTGTGGTTCTGTTATTGAGGTCTTTCACAAAAATGTTCATCTTCTGAGATGTAATACGAAGTAGTCGGAAGGTAGTATTGTAGAATATGCCGTAATCTGCCAATCTTTTATCATTTTGCAAGGCTGTTTCCTCCAAATATAGCTCACAGATACGCCCTTCTTTCCCAATCTGCTTCTTGATCCACTTGATAGGTACAAAAGGGTTGCATGATATAACTTTAGGTGCTCCTGTCTGTTGTTTCACTGTCACCTCAATATCTCGGGCCGGCTAAAAGAAAAAGGTGAAACAATTGACCAAAACCTTAAACATTATTTATGAACATAACTGTTCCACCAGTAACATATAATAAATCAGTAATGTATAGTATCAGTGTTTTTCTGTTTGTAACCTTCAATTAGCAAAAACAGTTCATCACAGCACAATGATTTTTGAATCAAGGTACCTAAAATCCACAGAATGAGTATGAAATCTAGGACCCATCACTCCCATGGAATTGAAAGTGTTTCAGTCTTCAGAGCAGTTGTACTGGCAAAGCTCTGGCTGTTGCAGCTCTGCCACAATCAGCCATGGTCACACATTCATGATTTCCAACACTCCTTCCAGTTTCCCAATGGGGAATCCGGCAGGAGAGTGGAAATTTCTCCCGCTGCCACTTCTGCTTTGGCTTTGTGGTCATTCTGTTTCTCTCTCTTGGTAAGTAAATTTTGACTTATTATTATTCTTACATAATACTGCACTACCTTTCTCTCAAAGGATGACCTAACAGGCCGTAGGTTGTCTAGTACTAGGTACATCTGTGAATTCTGAGCCTCCCTTAGGCATGAAAGCTGGCTGGATGACTTTGGGCCAGTCCCTTTCTCAGCACAACCCAATTTGCAGGGTGGCAGGAGTATTAGGTATGTTCGCCTCCCTCCTTGAGTGATATATTATTGAAAAGGTGGAATAAAATAATAATCATATATTATTATATAAAATAATAATAATTCCTGCATGCAAGCAGGAACTGATAGGGTCATAAAATAGACAAAGTAGTAGAAAATAAAGAAGCTAAAGTGCTCTGGGACTTTAGATTTCAAACAGATAGGCACCTGCCACATAACAACCCAGACTTAACAATTGTTGATAAGACAAAAAAAGTCTGGATAGTGTGCATTGCTGTAAGAAGAGCAGCAGAAGAGAAGAGAAAGAACTGGAGAAAATCACAAAAATGACCTGTAGATAGAAGTAAAACAATTGTGGCGAAAGAAAGCAAAAATAATACTAATAGTGGGTGCAATCCCAAAACATATGTAGCATCACTTAAACACGATTGTCATTGACAAAATCACCATCAGTCAATTGCAAAATGCGGTTTGATTTGGTACAGCTTACATCCTGCGATGATAACTTTAACACTATCAAACAACAACATCTGCTGATCCCAGGTCCCTGCGAAAGACTCAACAGGTGGATTAAAGTACCATATCCAGTCTACATCTCTGGCTGATTGTTGTGCAACCAACCATAATCATAATGTGTATTATGGATATATAGTAAAGAAATATTCTACAAGTTTATCCTAGACTAATGATATGCAAACCACAAGATTGTCCTAATATTTTGCTGCCTGAAATATATATATATTCAGTTTCATGCTAGGTAGCAACAACTTCACTGTGATGCATTTTTATGTAGCGCAGGGCTGGCTCTATTTAATGAGATATTCATATCAGTGGTCCAAGTCCTTTTAACCGAATTGACTGAAATGGGGTGGGGATTTACTTTTTTACAATGACATGCTGCAAGTTGGATGACTTCATAAAATAAACAAATCCTGATCTGAACATGAAATGGAAATGGCAGCGAATCTCCCATGGGAAGATTCCGCGAATGACTTTGCCCCTGTGACTCCCACACCATGGAGGATGTTCAGTATGTCCTGTTGTATTGCAATTTCTATTTAAACCTGTATGATTTATTTATTTATTTATTTATGAGACTTATATACCGCTTTAAGTGCAAGCACTCTCTAAGCGGTGTACACCAGTAAGCAATGTATATATATATATTTACATTGCCCCCAACAATCTAGGTCCTCATTTTATCTACCCTGGAAGGATGGAAGGCTGAGTCAACCTTGAGCCGGTGAGATTTGAACCGCTGACCTGCTGAACACAGTCAGCTAAAGTGGCCTGCAGTACTGCACTCTAACTGCTGCGCCACCTGATGTTTTAATTTGGCCCCTCATAAAGGAATTCCCAGGAAGAGACAACCAACATGACATTTCATATCTTTTAAGAGCTCATAAGACCACTACTAGCCAAATTCTGCCTCACTGCTTCAAGAGTGAGGCAACAAATATTGTCCAATAAAACTGCACTGCTTAGATACCTTTAAAACCTTCTTTCTTCTGCTCTCCCCTTCCTTTCCTCCCTCTAATTCTTTTAACTTCTTTAAATTGCCATATGTAATGCATGTTTAATGTATATGTATACACCAGTGTTTCTCAACCTTGGCAACTTTAAGAAGTCTGGACTTCAATTCCCAGAATCCCCAGGGAGTTGAAGTCCAGACACCTTAAAGGTGCTAAGGTTGAGAAACACTGGTGTATACATATACGTTAAGTTAGTGACTTTATCTAAAAGCAGGGCCCATCTTGCCAAGGTACAAGCAAAACTTAATGTGATAAATAAGTAGTTATCTGTGCTGCTGTCAGTGAAGTCTGATAGTCTGTTCTGATACATTCTGCATTTTGTTTCTTTTCTTACACAAGGAAAAGTAACTCCAGAATGGATTATTTTCCTGATTTTTCTATGATCATTTGCCCCTTCACCCTCAAAGACTGAACAGAACACTAGTTAAACTTTGGTTGAGAAGTTGCAGATGCTTCTCAAATCCATAGCTTTGCTTCACACCTCATTCCCCACCTGGAAGCAACCAAGAATAACCCTGAAGAGCTTCTCTTGGACCTGACTGATAGAACGCTGCTTAAGGAAATTGCTGTTGAGGCTGGATTCGTCCAAGGCTCTCAGCCATTATGGCTTAGCATAGGGTCTCCAAACCTGGCAACTTTAAGACTTGTGGACTTCAACTCCCGGAATTCAATAAACCACAGTTAAACAGAGAACTCTAATATGATGTAGTTATCCAATTTAAAACTATGTTCAGTGGTTAAACTGGGGAAAGCCAAGAAGAAACCCATTTCCTTTTAAGATATTGAATCCTGTAAAATTTCAGAATCTTTGCATAATCCACCTGTAAACATTATACAGACCTGAAATATCTCAAGACTTAGAAGTTATTATTTTTCTGAATCTCCTGTTAGGAAGAAAATGGCCTATGCACACTACCTGCACATTCCAGGGTTTGATAGGCTCCTCATTCTTCATGCAGCAAGACTGGGTCAGGCAATCAGAAGCTTTCTGGGCCAATAGATCCCAAGCTTCCACATTGGCTTTGGCAACATTTGCTGTTGGATCTACTGGATCGATAATCACAGGACTGCAACACGCACACAAACATATATATTTAAAAACAAATTATATACTCCCAGGAGAAATGCACAATTATGACAAGAACTTAAAAAATATGTTACTCCAGTGCAGTGTGTGCCAGGTAGATTTCACTTTTCAATATATTGTTTGAATGTGTTTTCCTTCCCTAACTTATACCACTCAAATACCTGTACTGTACATAATAACTACAGGGCAACCTAAATGTAGCATTGAGAATATGAGTGATTTTTATATTTGCCTTTTGTTTACTGGATATCAGCTATAGAGTCCTAAGTCAAAAACTCTATCGTCTTTAGCAGTAGGAAGAAGGGAGATTTCACTCTTTGGTTTCTTTCATTCACTCCTACTTCCAGCTAGTGGCAAAGAGTAATAAGTGTAAATATTCAAGTGCAATGGAAGAATGCCAAAACAGCTAAGGTAAATGTGAGCATTTACGATTTAATAGGTAAGTAAGTAATAATAATAATAATGGCATACAGCCTGATTGTCATTTTACTCAACTGAATGAAAGCATATGTATAACAAGAGAAAAGCATCCTTACCGTGACTCCTTCAATTTTCCTTTCATATGTACCCCTATTTTGGAATCCTCTAGGGTGTAGTATTTAGTCCAATAGAAGCAGAGGTCTTGGTACTGAGTGATCAGTTTCATTACTGTGCAAAATCCTTCTGCCGTGTTGAATTGCTCTGCTCCTTTTTTTTCTTCTTCCCAAGCATAAATAGTAAGCAATTCCAGGGCAAATTTGGGGGGCAATTTGGCAGGCAATTTGGGGAACATGCTGCTGGATTGCTGAAAAAAAAAATACTATCATGAGACTGTTTTGTTTCTGAATGGGCAGGGTTTTATACAAAATATATCATTTCATTAAGCCCATTGGAGACTTAATACATTCAGTTATCTTGTCCTGAGCTTTGGCGTATAACAGCATTGCTGCTGGTTGTTTGACACTAAATTTCAATAAACTTGGAGAACTCTGTTCCCTGCACAAAGGTTTAGGACATAACACACTCCACAAATTGCCCATTCTTGTTGTAGCTGCTGCTTTTCCATCAGCCAATTTTAGTAGATAATTTCTTTCTGCACCAGCTTTCTCCCCCTGCGTGCTTTTCAAGGTCTCTTCCTAAAAAGAGTATCTGGAACTATCTGGTCCTATCCCGATATTTTGAATACTATAGCAAGCTGCCCCATACTGGCTCTAGGAAATAATCTAAAAGGTCAGATGTAATGTTGGCTTTACATCAATCTTTATAGATATTTTCCCAGGATATCCAGGCCCAGGGTGAGGTGGGGCAGAAAAAAAACTAGTATTGATTCTTGACTTCCCTTTTGAGGAAGAAAAACTGAGGGCCACAATTGAGGTGGGGCAGAAAAAAAACTAGTATTGATTCTTGACTTCCCTTTTGAGGAAGAAAAACTGAGGGCCACAATAAGACCTGATCCTTACCATTATTGTGGGATTAAAGCTGGGATTAAAGTGGCAAACCAGAAAAGTGGGCAAAGGAAATGACTGGACAATCACATCACACTCCTGTTTGTACAGAGGTTGGACAATGTCAAGGCCAGTTTAGTGGGACATGACCTAGGAAGCAAAGGTCACGGGGACTTCAGTATAGAATCTTGGAAACACTAAAGTACAGAATCTTGGAAACTACCATAGGAACCCCCAACCCTCATTTGTTGGTGAGTTTATTAAGGTAAAAACTCTTTGAATGTTTTAGTCTCTTCTTCCCAGACTTTTTGCAGCTTAGACTGAGCTGTTTTTATGAAATATGTAACAAATACATTGAATTTATCTATCAAATTTATATGGCCACCCACTTCATGCAAAGTGACTCTGGGGGATAAAAAAATAAAACCTACAATCAAAGCATATTATAAAAATCACTTAAAACTATTAAGTAATTTAACATGCAAAAGAACATTGGTTGGTTGTTTCCTCCTGTTACTATTCCAGCCTCCCCCTCTCTCTCATAACAGCTCACCTTCTTGATTTCTTTGTACCAGTGCTTGACCAGCCGTAGCAGATCCTTGAGCTTTGATGGACAACGTTTCACAAAATTCCTATGCAGCTCTGTGAAGGAAGTATTGAACTCTCCTGGGTCTCCATTGGCTTCAATCAGTTCGATATAGACCTCCTTAGATGGCACATACGTAAAAGATATTGGACCTAGGATGGGAGAGGAACCAAAGGAAACCATCACAAGATTTTTGTGTGATATCATATTTTGTTATCCTATTGTGCATTTTAAGGTCACCAACAACTGACATGTCCATTCCCATCTCTTCACTCTGATGATTCCTCCCTGAAGCACAATGAGATTTGCAAGGCTGATGTCAACCCTTCAAAAAAGACAAGTTCACAGAACAGATTCCACCTGGAAACCAACATTACACTTAATTGAGATAAGCTATCATAACAGAATCTTGCAAGCCTGAAGCTTCTTATCCCTCTCTGTCATACCCTAGAGCAGCGGTTCTCAACTTGTGGGTCGCGACCCCATTTGGGGTCGAATGACCATTTCACGGGGGTCGCGAAACAATGCGATCCGCCATTTTTTTGTCAGCCGGCGCAGGGGGTGCTGCCGCGCATGTGTGCCACGCAGGGGCGGCACATGGGGACGGCACCACACATGCGCACCGCGCATGGGGGCGGCACCGCGCATGTGTGCCGCGCATGGGGTGCCGCCGCGCATGCGCACCACGCAGGGGGCAGTGCATGGGGACGCCGCCGCGCATGCATGCCGTGCAGGGGGCAGTGCCGTGCATGCGTGCCGTGCAGGGGGCGCCACCGCGCATGCGTGCCACACAGGGGGCAGTGCCACGCATGCGCGCCGCCTGCTTATGTCCGGGGTCGCCGTATAAAAAGGTTGAGAACCACTGCCCTAGAGATTCAGGAGAAACTATCCAAAGCCTCTTCCTAATATTGTCTCTCTTTTCGGAACTTAAGGAATCCTTCTGTCATCTTTGTTTACATAATATTTTCTGAATATTCAACCTTGTCTCCCTGCTTTCCACACTATTAGAATAAGATGTTCTATTAGAACTGTTCTGTGAAATGCCAGCAAAGTGGCGACTCCTCTTTCTTTGGGAGGGGGGCAAGGTATTTCATAATGTGTGAACTGCTACCAAGAAGGCATGAAGGCACCAAGAAGCATCCAAGAAGTACACTTTATACTTCACATAATTAGGGCAGGTTGATTCTACCTGGGACAGATCCTCCAGCAGGAACATAAGGGCAAAATCATGTACAGCTTTGAACACAGGATCTTGGATTAGGCTTGGAAGCGTATTGGTAACCAAGGGAGTTAACTCAGAATATCTCAGACACTACAAACCCTACTTCCCACTATTGGTAGTCAATTCACTACATTTTGGACCAGTTGAAATTTTGAGTTTCCTAGGAAAGTCCCATGTAAACCTTATTGTTGTTGTTTGACTGTGAGGCGATAAGCACAAATTTCCATTTCAAGGGTCTCCTGATGCATGTGAAATATGAGAACCCATGATGGTTTTCTGTAGTCATGATGATGGTTCCTATGTTCATCTAATAGTGGAATTAATAAGAAAGCTTGTGACTAGATTCCTCACCTAAAGCATCATATGCTGGGAGGATGTCCACCTCTACCGACTCAGTCTTCTTTTTTGCCTGGATGAGGAGTGAAAGTGCACGTGGGGGAGTTCCCTTCCGCCTTGGTGGGAAGATTTCAACTCTGAAAGCAATCGTCTGGATACACCTCTTCAAATTCTTTTCAATGTCCTTGATCACACGTTCACGCCGCTTTGCTTGATCCTTGAAGCTGGAAAAGCAGCTGAGGAAGATAACCAGATCAACATCTGAACTCATATCCAGAGTGTTCCTTTTCCTGCAGAGCCAGCCTATATATATATATATATATATAAGCAAACGTTCACTCATCTTCTCTCTCACCATTTATTCATTTAAAACAGCCAATATCTTACCAACTCTAAGACAAAGGAGAAACACTTGTACCCTAAATGTTGAATTATGCCATATGTCTCATTGGTAGACCTGGGTTTCTCACTTGTAGGCAGAAAAGCAAGTGTATTTGGTTCATTTTTGCCCCATGTGAAAAAAAACAACCTCAAATCTAATCCCCTGCTCTTCAATAGGCGTTTTGCCATACTATAACTTGGACCGATGTATTTGAAAGGAATAAATACACACAGAAGGAAAACATTGAAAGAGTTTATTAAGGAAAGCACAGCAAAAGAATAATTTTAACCCCAAAACATGAAGACACATAGACAAGAAATATCCATAGCAAGGCAACAAAACAAAATGTGGCAAAATTACGTAGAGGATAAGTATAGAAAAAAAAAAACTCATATTCCTTTGGTAGCTGGAAGCCCCTTGTCCTCATCAAAGGCAGCCACAGATGTTCCCCTGATTCTTCTGGCTAGTTTATGGAGTGATTAAAAATACATCTCTTTCCCCCTTAACAGGTCAGTTTTGCTTTTTTGAAGAAATGTCTTCTCAGATTCTATTATACATGTCTGGGAGCTTCCATTGTAGATGCATAACCACAGCAATAGCATTTAGACTTATATACCATTTCATAGTGCTTTACAGCCCTCTCTAAGTGGTTTACAATGTCAGCATATTACCCCCAACAATTTGGGTCCTCATTTTACCGACCTCCGAAGATGGAAGGCTGAGTCAACCTTGAGCTCCTCAGGATCAAACTTAGTGCTGTGGGTAGAGTTTGCCTTTATTATTTCATTCTAATCCCTGCACCACTATGGTAGTCTAACTTCTTATACCAGGTGACTACCCTTATGATGAAGGGTCTTAGCTCAAGCTATGATATTACTGATTAAATGTCTTGATAAACCTTACTTCATGCTATGCTACAACCAGAAGTATAACAAATAAGAAGAATACTTTTAAGAGTGCTTTACAACCTATATGGATTTATCACCTGAAAAAATGGCTGTAGGAGTGGAGTACCCTTCACTAGTTCCTAGAACTTTTTCTGCAATTCCACTACAGTAGGCAAAAGCATTACTTCACATGATGGCTAAAGCCAATAAAAGACATTGAACCAATTCTGTATCTTTGTACATATCTTTAATCTATAAAGATTAAAAAGGAGCTGGTGGTGCAGTGATTAGAATGCAGTACTGCAGGCTAACTCTGTCCACAGTCTGGTGTTTGATCCTGAGGGAGCTCAAGTTGACTCAGCCTTCCATCCTTCTGAGGTTGGTAAAATGAGGACCCAGATTGTAGGGGGGCAATATGCTGACGTTGTAAATTGCCCAGAAAGTGCTGTAAAGCACTGTGGGCTGATATATAAGTCTAAGAGCTATTGCTGTTGCTATAAAAGCAATAGCAAAATACTTATCAATTCTGTGAGAAGGTAAAAAAAGATCAAGAGGAACATAAACAATTGAAAAAAACTGGCTTTGTGTTTTAATCCGAGAGTGCATCTTTGTTTATTATATAAAATAAACAAGTTGTGCAGTTTCTCTTCCTTATGTGATAATTGGATCCTTCACGCCAGATAAAAAAATGACTTAGCATTTGACTGGTCAATCCATAGTTTGGCCAACACCTTTTATTGGAATATGGTTAATGTCCAGTTTCAGGGTCACTGCATATAATGTAACACCACGAGGCCTCTTTCATATTCTTTACAGTAAGGATGCCCAACCCTCGGTCCATGGGCCAGCACTGGGCCATGGCATGCCAGAAACCAGGCCACACAAACAAGTGAAGCCCAACTGCGGAATGCAGGCAGCACACAAAACCACAGTCATTCCAGTCCACGGAAAAACCTCTCACCATGGAACCAGTCCCTGGTGCCCAAAAGATCGGGGGCCACTGCTTTACAGCAAGTAGTGTTCTTGCTCCCATCCCAAAGATCTCCTCTGTGAACCAGCATTCATGTCAATTCCTGAGAGTCTATCATGGACATGGCCTCACTGCCATGAAGTCTGGCATTTATTCCCTAACTTCAGCACCCACATTTATTAAGGCAGGCAATATATATTTGAACTCACAGTCTGGACAAAGGGCTGGGAGCTAGATACCCTGTAACTAAGCTGGCACAAAGAACCAGTGCCATTCAATCTGAGAAGTCATTTTACTAGAGTTGGGTTAGTTAGACCAAGCAAGGCTCACCTTTATTGTCTTGATCACGTTGGCATCCTGATCCAGATCACAGTCTTCTTTCAGGAAAGAACAAATTCTGTCCACAGCATCACGGACATTCTCTTGAAACTCCTCGCTGGGGTGGAGGTTTGTACCAATATATCCATCAAGTTTTTTAGAGGGGATGGAATACAGCTCCATTTTCTCCTTCAGGCAGTCCACTTGCGCTACACTGGGACGAGCCACCCAGCTCTATTTATCTTACTGCCTCTCTTTCTCTCTCTCTCTCTCTCACTCACTCTCTGATGTCACCACACAAGCTTTTAAGGTGGACTAAACAGTGTATAGTCAGATTTCTCAGACATGTACTTTCAAATAATGTATATAAAAGCTGAATTGAAATAAAACAATTGAAATGAAATCATATTCAATATTGTGAAATTATTGTATGGAAAACAGTAACTGAGTATTTTGTATCTGAATAAAACAAAATAGATGTTTATGTTGTAAAAACTCCCACCTTTCATGGAAACTATTGTAAAAGTACTGTGCAGAATAATATTTTACTTACTATTCTTACTAATCGAAGTTCTCTAACTCTAAATATATACTTTGGGGGGGGGGGTTCCTAAAAGTATTTTCATAGACTACCTTAAAAGTTAGAAGGTGGAGACAATTTCGGGGCGTAGATGTTTCTTTTTTTCGAGAACGAAACTTAAATGTAGGAAACGAAAGTAAAGAGCGAAGGGGCGAATGGTGGGGAATACTCCAAACGAGGGTTGGCGTAACACTCAAAATAACTTAGGCATAACATCTTTGGAGACGCAACCTCTCGCTTTAGATCCCAGGATATCCAGTTCAAAGAGCGGCTGTCAGATTTCCCACATGTACCCCGCATTCAGGTGCTAGGACTACCGCCCCCATCCTCGCCCCCCCCAAAACAGTCAGAGAGGGAAATGCTGAAGGACCAGGGATCTCAAAAGAAAAATATCTTGATGAGGGAGTGCCAGCATTCTCGGGGCCGCGATTAGGGGCGCTTCCTGTGCCTGAAACCAAGTCAGGTTCCGCAGAAAAAGCGGGACAACTCCGAACAGATTGCAGCGCCCCGCCCGATTCAAGGAAAAGCACTTGCTCAGCCTCGCCTCTGCACTCGGATCGTCGCCAGGGGAACTTTTAGCAGCTGAGAATCTGCTGGATCCGCCGGTTCCCATTTGCGGCATGATGTGCGGTAACAAGAGCGGCAGCCGTGCGCCCTTCCCTTCCCTTCCCTTCCCATGGATGTAGTTTTCATTTTAGAAATTAGATGCCCACGGCTGTCTCTTGGATTGAATCAAAGCCTGAGATCCGTTCCACAGCAAAGGCATGGAGAAGAAAGGCTTCGATTCTCACCCCGGGCTGGAATGAGGAAACCCTCGAAGCCAAAGTGCGCTGGAAACGCTCCTCAGCAAGACCTAACAGAACAGAGCGGGAGAAGCTTCCTGCATGAGAAACGAAACGTCTTCAAAGAAAAAAACCCAGAAAGTCCAGTTGCCTCTTGAAAAAGCACCTTTGGGACACCTAACAGAACTGGACGGGCAGGTGGGGCGGAGGAGGCTCCTTGCCTCATACAATTCTTTTTTTTTTTATCAGTAAAAGTTTTATTTTCCATTTATCAATCAATACATAAATATAAAAATTCACATTTAACAAAATAAAATAAATTCATAACCATAGGTGTTGCTTGTCCACTCCCCCTCCAAACTGCATCCACCCTCTCTAACACTCTCCCTTACTTCCCTCCTCTTTCTCTCCTCACCTCACCTCTCTCTCCCCTTCCCCTCTCCTCTTACCAACCTATTTCCTCCCTATTCTTCCTCCTCCCCTCTCATCCCTCTTCGGATACAGTACCAGGGAAGTGCCCAAGCAACACCTCTCTCATAAATTACCCTATCTATATCATACTTAAATAATCCTGTTATCTAACCTACTTACCCCCCCACCCCCCCTCACTTCCCAGAGCAGAATACAGGGTTATTAATAGCAAAATAAACAAAATCAACTTAACTTTAAAGATATTATATAATAAACCCTCATACAATTCTTGGGATCTTCTGGAGGTTGCACTATATCCAGCCAATGTTCTGTAAATACACGCATGAGAATAAGCCCTGAGGTCTCTAGTAGCCCCCATGTAAGGCCCTAATTGTCCTGGTGTGTGTAGACTATGTACAAAACACAAGAGGCCTGCCTCAGATATGATACCCTGAGATATTAGACATAATTTATCTCTTCAGACTCTCTATTTCAAATCCTAGTAGTAGGAAAAAGAATGAAATATGTATGAAATAATTCTCATAAAACTAAATGGTGGAAATTCCTTATATCTGGCTCCAGCAGTGCCTTCGCCTATTTTTGAGTTGTCTCTTGGACAAAACGTACCCTGCAATAAATGTGAGGCTGAACCCTGTGGGTGAGGTTGCAATGTGACTACACAAAAGAGCTTAACATTCCAAAACAACATGTAGGTCAGACAACTCTTCCCCCTAACATAGTTTCCCAGGCAAAACCGATGTCACTCTCCTTCCTTCCATTTCATTTGTAAAAGTTGACCAGATGGGTCACTGAAATTCTCTACCCATGACAGACTATGTGAATACTTATCACACAGCCCTTCATCTTGGTTGACACTTCCTTTTTGCTCCCTAGTCCAGTTTCCATTGCCGGGTGAGGTCACCACATTCGTCCTGGTGCCAGGATCTGATCTCAGTATTTAGAGTTGGGTCCAAAGACTTTTCAAAATTCCTCCCAAATTACGGTCCTGGGGAAGGAGAATTTTTTCCCCAATAATATCATAAGGGCAACAGGAGCAAGGGCATTGCAAGCCTCCTGGGACATCTTTTCTTACAATTTAGTTGAAGTATAAAAAGCCACCAAGATTGCAGAACCTTGAAGAGATCATGGTTGTATAAAAACACAATAACAGGACATTCAAGAACCAGTTTTGGACATTTAAAAAACAAATCTACCCAGGAGAATTTTTTCAAAATACTTTTTCCCTTTAGATGAAATAACAATTAATTTTATAAAGTTGAATGAGAACTGGTAGAAAAAAGTCAGCACTCACAAGGCATTTTGAAATGGACAGTGGTTAATCTTTTTTCTGGAGCACTATTCCGGAAACTCAGTTTTTTCTTGCTAAGGCCACAAGGACTGCAATAGTGTTGAAACAGGTTTATTTTTCTTTCCTTCTGTCTCTTCATTCATCTTCACAACCACCTTAGTCACTAATGTAACTCTTCTAGGGTTAAAGTTCTTCAGAATCTGAGACTAGCATTTTTTTAAAGATGATCCAGGAGCCATGAGGACTAAAGGAGATATTTTCCCAAATCACTTAGAAATTGGTATTTCTGAGTTGTGTTTGACATGAGCAGCAAAGAATTGCAGTTACATAATATTATCATTTAATACAACTAAAAATTCTTGGAATCATTTCTATTTTCAAAATACATTTAAGTCCTGAGTCCTTGGGATTGGGCGGCATATAAATATTTGTAAATAAATAAATAAATAAATAAAGTCATATTTGCAGTTTGTGCTCATCATTTAAAGCATTATTTCATTGTAAAACAACAACTTTAAAAATTAGAAACTCTGTAAGGGAAAAAGAGGTCCAGTCCAAGTGGGGAATAAACAAAATGGAGACTGCTTTAGAAAGAAGGTTGTAGTTTATTGAAAAGCAGAGCCAGACAGAAAGATGGCTCTGGGAAAACTGACCACATGTACTAGGGAGTGGTGGATTTTTAATACCTTCTTGAGCTTTTGTTTGGAGTTGTTCCTGTGGCATGAACTTTGACCTGAGTCTGGGTGTGCCTTTCTGGTATTCTGATGGTGGTGGGTTAATCCTATTATGTCCCAAAGGTCATGTCTTTTAGAGTTTGGGTGGAGTATGTAGATTTTAGGGGTCCTAATCAAGCTGGTTTCTGCTGAGTTTTGTGGCTGGAGGGAGGGAGATGTTTCTGCCTTTTTAAAGATCTTCTCCATTATTCCTTTGGAGAAATATATTCTGCCTATTTAATATTCCCCCAAAAATTTCTTTCTCTGGATTCTTCCCACAGTACTCTCTGAGCTTAATTGTTTTCTTCCAGACATTTCATTACCCAAACTTGGTAACATTATCAGTGCTAGTAAGAAGTGGGGTTTGCTCTCAATTTATATTCTAGTGGCTTGCCCTTTCATTGTTGGTTTGAGTGGTCTTGCTTGTGCTTTGGTCAGGATGTTTCCTGTTAGCTTGTTTGGCAGTTCTTTGGTTGGGGTATTGTCTCTTGATTGTTTGTCTGAAATTAATCTTGGAGTTAATCTATGCTCATTTGGATATTTACTGCTGGTGGGGAGGTGTTTTGGTCTTTTTGTTCCCTTTTGGGCTTGTTGATTGTCTCTTTTGAATAGTATATATTGTTTATGTGTCTTTTGATGACTAATTTGCCAGAGTGCCAGATTTCCAGAAAGAGTTCTTAACCCACTCCAGCCCTCTACCCATCAATCTACTTTGTTCCTCTCATTTTTTCTGGTAAATCAAGGTGACAGATTTTTCTTAGAGAAGGTAGAGGATTCTTAAGAGGGCCCAGACCACATTCGTGTCTAAGGTTCCAATAATATTGCTAAGTACTGAGGCAGAGCATTCCCCATCACATTCAGAAACCACCTGGATCTAACAGGCACAGGGATGGACTTTTTGTAACAGAACTTACCCCTTCAAGAGTTATGGCAGCTACTAATCTCAACGGAGTGATCTGTGACCCTGGAATTACGGAAAGCTTCTCAAATTTCTGACCACCAGCTCTAGCCAACTGGAATATCAAATCCAGACTATGCCCCACCGCATGCATGGAATCAGATTATCAACTGGAAAGGTCCACTGTTGTCATGTGAGGAATGACATCCCAAATCACTTCTCACTGGGCAACTTCAGCATGGACAAGAAATCTAGGATGGGCCGTTGTTAGGGCAGATTTCATCATGACCAGTTCAGAAAGTCACAATGTGGGGAAGGGGAGTAGATCACACCCTTATGCTGTCCTAGTTATTCAGAACACTCATTGGTATTATAGCACTGAATGCTTTGCTGAGCGACTACAGGTCATCCTCCTTTAGCAACCACCACTGAGATTGGCAACTCTGTCACTAAGCAAAGCAGTGGCTAAGTGGGAACTCAAGTGATGGCAACTGTGCCTGTTTGCTCTCTTGCCCTCTCTTTTTCTCTTCTGCTCTGCAAAGGGGGAAAGAAAGAAAAACAGGACAGAGAACAACTGTAATGGCACTCATGTGACTGGAGAAGGTTGAAAGGGTCATAAATGGTTGTAAATTGGTTGTAGACTTATTTTTTCAGCACCGTTGTCTCTTCAGTTGCTGAATTAGTGGTCAGTAAGTGAGTAATGTTGGTAATTGGGACTGGAATTTCCCTTGTTTAGCGATGGCAATTCAAGAAGTTCCAAGTTGTCATAAATTGAGGAGATTGTGGGTTGCTAAGCAAGGACCTCATGGGACTATGATTTACGACTTGGTGCCAGTTTCCCTCTTTGGCTTTGTTTGGCTGTCACTAGTCTCTAATAAAAATTCCTTTTGAGATAATGCCTGTCTCAAGAGTTCTGTTTTCTTGGGAGGCTTAGCTGAGCTGGATCCTTACAATTTCAAGGACTGGACATAACTATCACTCATTCAGTGCTGTTGTAACTCCAATCAGTCACTGAGGACTACTTATAATGCATTCAAGTTAATCTCCAATTGTTGTCTGATGTGAAGAGAACTTTTCAACATGGGACTGCAATACATGGGCTGCATCTGACTTGGGAATAAGGCAACAAGGCATGCCAGACTACCAACAGATTATATAACCCTGCATCATTATAGACACCAAACTGATCACAATTCCACAGCTCTTATATGGCCCCCATCAAAACATACTGCTCAAAAAAATAAAGGGAACACAAACGTATAGGATCCTATACGTTTGTGTTCCCTTTATTTTTTTGAGCAGTATATATTCATTCAAAGGTAGGTATCAGCAGGTTGAAGGATCCCAAGAGTTGCAGAAGGATCAAATGTAGCTGGTAGTTAGAAGCTCCCCAGAAAAAAAATGAGGACAGGGCATGCTAAGTGGCTAATGCATCACGACAGGGTGTGTTTGCCTGCAGGGGTATGAATTTCTCAAATGGTTTGAATTCTGAAGAGGCCACTATCCAGGTTGCAGCCCTGTACAGAGTAATAAGTCTTCCTTATTTGATATGAAAAACAGCTTAATTTTTTTCATTCGTAGACCCAGCATCCCTAACTTAAGCTTTATAATGATTTAGTTTCCTGAGGGGGGAAAAAAACTATCTGAAGATTTAAAAAAAAACACCTGCCACTTGTCTTTTCTTTTAAAAAGTGGATGTAGTTTTATATGGGGGAAATAAATGGTAGTTTTACTTTGTCTAAACAATGTTATGACTGACCATGTAAATTGAATTTAAAAACCCCAAATATACTACTAATCAGGGCTTTTTTTCCTCATAGAACACCTGGAATGGAGTTCCGGCACCTTTTTTGGATGGAACCTTGTAGGGTAGGCAAGGCGGGTTCTTTGACGTGTGTGAGTTCCAGCACCTTTTTTTTTTTTTTTTTAGAAAAAAAGCACTGCTACTAATTATATTTCAAAATGTAGTTTCATTTTTTTTTCAGTCTTCAAGTGATTTATTGTGTATCAGTTATTTATTATGAAACTAAAATTGTTTTCTCAGACATGCAAAATTTAAATATGGCCATTACACTCCTCAGTCATTTAAAATATTTTAGTGATATACTTACACCACCTTATGGCTATTTGCAGTCATTTCAATATACTTATATAAAATGGAATAGTCTGTATTTTCATGAGAGAATTGTGGCATACCATAGCTATCATTATGTTAGGTAACTCAAAAACTTAACAAATTCCTCTATATTTCACAGTAGGTCAAATTGCCAATATCCGCATAAAATTCTCTTCCAGATTCACAGAGGAATGGAGATGGACAAGACCAAATGTTCTTTATTTTACATTCTGCTCAAATCATGAATATTAGTATTTTCCTAAGCATTTTTTTTAAAAAAGATAATTACAGTAAACATTTATGATAGACTTCAGTAACTCTTAAAGCTGGGTAAGTATAATGATGTTTCATAAGAAGAAACTGAGATTAGCTTCTCATTTGTAAAAAGTAAATCTGAAATCTGGTTAGGGATATATCAGTGTAGCTCAGGAAATGATTGTTTGAAATCACAGCCATTTTTTATCCAAATTAATTATTTTATTATAGAATACAAATAATACTACATAAAACACAAAAAGTAGCTTGTTTATACAATAGAAACAGGAAGTTATAATTGTTAATTGTGCAATTAAAATAAACATTTCACAATAGTAAATTTATATCACAATTAAATATATTATCTAAGCTACTTAAACCTAACAAAATAGATGTAAAAAATAAAAAGAACGAAAGAAAAAAGGAGCACAAAAATGATCATATTCTTTTTCATACTCTTGAGATGTAGCCGGATGGTAGTATCATAGAATATACCATAATCTGCCAATCTTTTATCATTCTGCAAGGCTACATTTTCTTGCCCAAGTTCCTCCAAATATAGCTTACAGGTATGTCCTTCATTCCCAATCTTCTTCTTGATGTACATGATAGGTAGAAGAGGGTTGCATGATATAACTACAGGTATTCCTGTCTGTTGTTTAACCGTCACCTCAATGTTTCGAGTTGGCTAAAAGAAAAAGATGAAACAATTGACCAAAACATTAAACATCATTTATGAACATAATTGTCCTACCAGTAACATATAATAAATCAGTAATGTATAATATCTATATATTATTTACAGATAATACTCTCAGTTTTTCTCTGTTTGTAATCTTTAGTTAGCAAAACAGTACATCATGGCACAACAATTTTTGAACCAAGGTACTGAAAATCCACCAACTTACAGAATGCATATAAAATCTGGGACCCAATACTTCCATGAAACTGAAATTTCAAGGTCTTAAGAATAGTTGTATTGGCAAAGTTCTAGTTGCTAAACAGACAGCCATGGTCACATGTTTGTGATTTCCAATGGTCCTTCCAGTTTCCCAATAGGGAAGCTGGCAGGAAGTTGGAAATTGCTCCCGCTGCCACTGTTGTTTGGCTTCTTGTGGTCATTCTGTTTATCTCTTTTGGTAGATAAATTTTGACTTATTATTGAAGTTTGTTTATTGTATTTGTTCTTACATCATATTGTACTACATATCTCTCAAAGGATCACCCAACAAGTAATAATTGACTAGTATTAGGTACAACTGTGAATTCTAGGCCTCCCCTTAGGCATGAAAGCTGGCTGGATGACTTTGGGCCAGTCCCTTTCTCAGCCCAACCACTTTGCAAGGTGGCAGGAGTATTAGGTGTGTTTGCCTTCTTAGGTTATATATATTAAAAAGGTAGGATAACAACAACAACAACAATAATAATAATAATACATCTGCCTGCAAGGAGGAACTGATGGGAACCATAAAATAGACAAAGTAATAGAAAATGAAGAAGCTAAACTGCTCTGGACTTTAGAATTCAATTAGACTAGTACTTGCCACATAACAACCCAGATTTAACAATTGATAAGATAAAAAATTCTAGATAGTGGACATTGCATTAAGGAGATAACAGAAGAGAAGAGAAAGAACTGGAGAAAATCACAAAATACAAAAACCTGCAAATAGAAATAGATTGACTATAGCAAATAAAGCAAAAATAGTACCAATAGTGATAGGTACTTTGGGTGCATTCCCAAAATATCTGGAGCACCACTTGAACACCACTGACATTGATAAAATCACCATCATCAACAGAAAAAGGCAGTTTTATTTGGAACAGCTTACATCCTGTGACAATACTTTTAACACTATCAAACAACAACTTCCACTTAACCCAGGTTCCTGAGAAGGACTCAGTAGGTGGATAAAAATATGAAATCCAATCTGAACATCTAGCTGATTGTGCAACCAACCATAATAATATTGTGTTATAGGCCAGAACAGAGTTCTCTAATTTTTCCAGGTTGACAGCCCAGAGGGGGGGGAGGGGAAAAGGGGATGGTTTTGTGGGAGGGGTGAGTAGACCAAGAGCACCTGTGACACTTGCACAAGTGGGGCCTCAAGTGCCAGCAAAGCTTGTGTGAGTGAGGTCTGAGAGCCCGTGACCGTCATGTCAGTGAGGCCTCGAGTGCCTGCAATGCTCGCACAAAGTGGGGCCATGAGTATGTGTGAGACGCTCACGAAGTGGGGCTGTGAGTGCCTGTGACACTCATGTGAGTAGGGCTGTGCGTGAATACATACACATGCACACCAGGCAGCCACTCACGTGGCCTGGTTGCAAATAGGCCATGGACTGGTAGTGGGCCGCAGCCCACAGGTTGGGGACCCCTGGTCTAGAAATGTTCTAGAATTTTATCCTAGATAAATGATATGCAAACTACAGGATTGGTCCAAGCCATTTTGCTGCCTGAAAAGATTAGGATGCCTTCTCCTACTCCAAGTGCAGCTTAGGTCTGTACCTAGATTTGTCTATTCCAAAACACTGAACTTCTTCTGTTGTAAACATGGAAGTTTAAATGTATATATAAGATCACTGTCCTGGTATATAATTCACTTGTATTTCATTTTGTGCTACGTAGTAACAACTTCACTGTGGTGAAACTTTTATGAGATTTATGTAGGGCAGAGCTGGCTCAAATCAGCTCTGTTTAATGAGGCATTCATATCACTTGCTCAAGTCCCTTTAAAATTGAAATGGGAGGGCTATTACTTTTTCACAATGGCATGCTGCAAGTTGGATAACTTCATTTACGAAGTAAACAAATCCTCCTGAGCTGAACATGAAATGGAAGTGGCAGTAAATCTCCTGTGGAAAGATTCCACAAATGACTTTGCCCCTATGACTCTCATATCATGGAGGATATTCAGCATATCCTGTTATATGGTAATTTCTATTTAAACCTGTATGATGTATTAATTTAGCCTCTCATAAAGGAATTCTGAGGAAGAAGCTTCCGGCTATGGCGTTGCGGCGAAGCAGATGTTGGAAGATGAGCTTTGTCTTCCATGTTTGATTTCGCCCCACTGGGGACCCTGAAAAGGGTCGAAAGCCGCCCCACAGAGACAGCAAGCAAGGAGGGGACACTTGTTTGATCATTGGGGGGACTGGCAGCTCTCACGTTTGATCCGAGGAGGCCCTCCAAACCGGCGGGGGAAAAACTGGCTACATTTGCATAGCCAGTCAGAAGCTGCTGTCAACAGAAGATACCAAGCACTACTAAGCAAGTTTACAGCAACGTAGATGAAACTGGGTGAGACCTAAGCCTCTCTTTATGAATTTAAGACCGTTTCCTGAAAATCTACCCAAAGCACTCCCCTGAAGAGAAGGGAAAGGGAATTTTCACTCCATTCCCCCAGGAAAGCGGCAAATTAATTACCTGGGAAAAAGGAGAAACCCATAAGACTAACTTGGAACTAATATATATATATATGACTTGGGGACTAAAAGTGTTTTCTAAGACTTTAAAAAAAAAAAGGCTGGAAAAGCTTATAAATTTTGGTTTTAAAAACTGAAAAACAGTGTTGATGACATCTAGTGGTGAATGTACAGCACTAAAATTTATTTTTGCCTAAAAGTAACCTGGCTTGAAGCCCAGAGTGAGATAAGACTTTGGCTAGCCTTGAAGCTCTGACTTTTGAGATTTGCAGCTAAGAAAATGGAACAGGCTTGGGACAGCTTATCTGTGTGGCAGAGACAACAATATCATTTTAAAATTGGCCTGTCTGAACTATGAACAAAAATACTGACTTCTACAACTGTATTGTGGATCTATTCTCCTAAAGAAGAAATATATACTATTGCTCAGCAGTGGGATTCAAATACCTTAACATCTGGTTCTCCAAGGCCTAGAACAGACTTCTGGAAGTGATATCAATGCACTTCCGGTGGGCTGTTCTAGGCCTGGGAGGCCTCCACCAGGCCTAGAAAGGACTTCCGGAAGTGAAATCAACATACTTCCGGTGGGCCATTCTAGGCCTAGGAGACCTCCTCCAGGCCTCCAAGGCCTAGAACAGACTTGCAGAAGCAGCATGGGTTCAGTCGGTTTTCTGAACTTAACAAAATTTAGCTACCGGTTCTACTGAACCAGTGCAAACTGGCTGAATCCCACCACTGCTATTGTCGGATATGATGGAATATTTTGGAACACTTTGGATTATAAATCTTGATTATTAAACAACTTGTAATGGTTCTTTTTTTCTCTCTGGACCAGTGGTTCTCAACCTGTGGGTCAGGACCCCATTTGGGGTCGAATGACCATTTCACGGGGGTCGCCAAACCACACTGTCCGCCATTTTTTTCCCTTTTCCCTAGCTGTCCTACTCCCTCTTATTGGTGGCCACACCCACTTGGGGGTCACCACAACATGGGGAACTGTATTATGGGGTCATGGCATTAGAAAGGTTGAGAACCACTGCTCTGGACAGAAAAGATATCTTCCTCATTGGACAGAAAAATTTGAACTTTATTTATATCTGCTTGGGGGAGGTTTTAGAATGGTACTTGGTTGGATAAACTCATAAAGACTACTTACAAAAAATAAAATGGATGTTTCCTACTTAATTCTAAATGGTGAAAAACCATCTTTAACACCTGTCTCCAGAAGCTTCAGTTTGCCATATTACCAAGAAAATACTGATAAATCACAGAAAGAAATTCTCTCCATGTTGAAATCAATACAAGAAACAATCACTTTAGTTCATGATGAGTTTAAAAAAAATACAAAGAAGATAAAAGAACAATTTTTTAACTTTAATCTACAAACCCCCAAAAAAATACAGAGAAGGAACCAGCAACTCAGAAAACAGAGGAAAAAATAGAAAATGCTGACACAAATATTGAGAATCTGAAGGAAGAAAATTGTGACCAGACTCAGATAAATGAAGACTTAGAAGACACAACGAGAATATTGGAAATGGAGCAGACATTCTACAAATCAAAGTCTCAGAACTTACTGGAGGATAAGGAAGGAGAACTGATGGAATGGAAGAGAAAGCTGTCAATAGAACTGTGGGGAATTGGAGAAAGAGGGAGGCTGTTTAATGAATATCAACGGGACAATTCTTCCAAAAATACCTTAACTAAATTGATTCTCTTGACTCAAATAATATATACAAAAATAGAGGAAGAATTATTTGATGATCCAAATGTACTGACTTGGAAAGTTAGTTGGCAAAGGAAGAAAGCAAGAGTGAGACTGAAAGAAACAGAAGCTTTGACCTGTTAGAGGGGATGTTACATTATTGAATATGGTTAAGAATAGATTGTTAGAAATGGAAGTATTATTATAATTACATAGATAGGATTTGTAATCAGAATATCATATCTTGTTATAAAAAAGGGAAAGAAGAATATGTTAAGAATTTTGAATAGGAGATACCTTTGGTTGTTATTGTTGTTAATTGCGAAGTCGTGTCCGACCCATCGCGACCCCATGGACAACGTTCCACCAGGTCTTCCTGTCCTCTACCATCTTCTGAGTCCATTTAAGTTTACACACCTACTGCTTCAGTGACTCCATCCAGCCATCTCATTCTCTGTCGTTCCCTTCTTCTATTGCCCTCAATCTTTCCCAGCATTAGGCCCTTTTCCAGTGAGTCCTTCCTTCTCATTAGGTGGCCAAAGTTGAGTTTCAACTTCAGG